AAAAAAAAAAAAAAAATGTGAGAAGAAAAAAAAAAGGTCGCCAAGCATGCTTCTACTATGTGATATAACCCTAAGTCGGCTCAATCGGGAATAACACTTCAAAATTTAGAAGGCCGGCTGGTTTAGAGTTAGCCTAGGTCGGGTAAGTCAAAACGAAAAGATTGGAGCTTACCGAGCTATTTAGCTTGGTCAATACTCAAGACTTGGTGTTTGAACTGGGGTTAACCGATCTACCAGCTCGGTTACTTAGAACGACATATTTGACCTAAAGGGTTTGAAAGGCCAATAAGATAGCATAAATGAGCTAATGACTTCGAAGACTTACGGATCTCAATTAATAGAAGAACCTACACAAGAAGAGCCTATAGATATGAATATGTGTGAACACAAACAGATAAGAACAAATCTTGAGCAAGATAATGATCTGAATCCAAATAAATAAGATTCTCAAGTAATATGAAAAACTATCTTCTAAAAATAGAAGGTATGATCAGAACTCCTCTCTGAACATTCTAGATCTGAAATACACAATTTTCTTTCTATTTCCGATCATTGAATTGAGCCTGGGAGTGCTCAATGGCGGATCTACATTGAGTCCAACAACAACAACAACAACAACAACAACAACAACAACAACAACAACAACAACAACAACATACCCAGTATATTCCCAACAGGTTGGGGTCTGGGGAGTCAGTTGTACGCAGACCTTACCCTTGTAATTATACAAGGAGGCTGTTTCCGTAGCGACCCAAGGTGCATTGCGCCGTTTGATATATTTTTGTTTTCTAGAAACTTCACTAATAGAAGAAGCACTAGAATTTAATTGAGCCATTTTGATCTAGTCCATTATCAGCACTATGCCAGGAGAATTGTCAACAATGACTCTTCCAGCTCCATTTGCAATGGACAAATGTTTAATATTTGGCAATTGCCTAGGTTGGATTTTTTATGCTAATACACAATTTATAAAGTTAACTTAAAATTTTATATTTAATATTTGTAAAAATATAAATACATGTATTTATTTTAAAACTATAAATAATTCTTACAAAATAATATTATTTTTTTATTTAACATGATACACTCCACCTGTCAGATTCGACAGTCTTATATTTTATTTTTAGTACATATACCATATAATAGGCTTGACAAATAAATTTATTATTTTTCAATCATAATTGATGAATATTTAAATTTTTATTAATAGAGATCAAATAGATATAATTATTTAATTTATATATACAATATGAATGTCAAATTATAAATTGTCAAAATATGACTAATTTCATTTATCATACATGACAAATAATAACAAATATATATGTTATTAACTTTTAAAATATATTTGCAATTTAAGTTAGCCAAGTGTTCAAATTTGAAAGTTCTAGAGAAATGTCCATAATAAAATACTATTTTGAATCCTTAGAAACTAACAAATAAAATTACAAAGTGTTGGTAGTTGACAGTGGAAAACTCTAGTATAATAAGATAATCCATAAGGAACTCTTTATAAAATAACAGAAACACAAATGATGACATTTGGACTTTTCTTAAATTAATAAATTATATTTCAAAATGGCTTGTTTATAACTTATTACAAAAAATGAAGGAAAAGTGATTATAAAATATTTTTGGTATATTTCTTAATAATAATAAAAATGCGAAATCAAATAACCAGACTTTATTCTCCTTTTCTTTTTTTATTATTAAGATAAATCAATTTGAATAAGGAAATCTCAAAATTCGATTATTTTAATGATTTATTCAATTGTTAATATAAGTATTTTGTACAGTATGGTTAAAAAAAATTAACTATTTTTTGGTCGGGCTCATGAAAATTTTTTGATCCGCCGACTGGGAGTGCTCACACAGAAAATTCTTATAGACCTATGTTTTGCAAGTAATTAGCTTATAACTCGGACCATCGGAGTGTTCCAGTAGCTTGTTCGCATAGATCCACAAACCCGCACATCATTATGAAATTAACAATTTTAGTGGGTTAATTAAATTGTTGACTTGAATTGATTCATCTACGACTCTTGTTTTCAAGAAAAAAAAAATGTTGTAAGCTTCTCGTTAATTATTACTATTATTTATGTGACTGCGCATGCATGCGCATTAGGTTGTCATCTGCACATGCTTACCTCATTGTACAAACCGCAAAGTGGAATAATTATTTATATTATTTTATATACCCTTAGCTATTAGCCAAATTTTGAAACTGGAACGACTCTGGTGGGTTGGCTCAGGCCGAGACCAATATGAGTGTGTTGTCTGGATCAAGTACTAAATGACTTTATCAAAGTCGGTAAATCCAGTCTTGACACGATCGACTCGTGGATTGACCTAACTCAGACAACTCAGTTTGTCAAGTCATTAAATATTTTTTTTTTAATTTTTTTTTTTATTATATATGGTGTGCAAATAAACTGCTCTCAAACTCACACGACCTGATATGCTCTCTCACATGTTTTTAGACATGCAAAATGGGCTGGCAGGTGTTTTCGGAATTATCACTTTTACAATAGTCAATTCACAAATGAAGAAGACGATGAACAATGTATGTAAAACTCTGTAAGTATGTAGAGAATGTAGTGTATGAATGGACATACATCACTCCCTTATATAGGGGTGTGTTACATTGTTGCCCAAAACTGCTCGGATTAGCTGCCCAGACTACCAAAATTGTATGTAGTGCCCAATTATGTTAGGCCACGTGACCTTATGCACGTGTGGTTCTTATCTTAATAATATTCCTTTATACCATTTTGTCAGTCTTATTAGACGACCAAATCGTGCGACCGACTCGATAGGCCTCGAGGTGGAGTGCTTCCCGTGCTAAGCTCGGCTATGCTCTTCTGGTCGATCCATCGACCCGTCATGCCTTCATGTCAAGTTTCAACCAGACCATCCAAAGGCCCTAAGTTGACCTTTCGATGTCCCTTTGAACCTGCGACGTTCTCATCGACTTGAGAACTCCTCGATCTGTAGCTCTGTTCGACCTGCCTGTAGCTCTGTTCGACCAACCAGTTTTTCCTTGCCCGATTGATAGGTTTATCAGGACTATTCGACTCGGTATGATATTTTATATCATCTGGTCCCCCCACTCTGGTCGAGTTAAGATGATTCGATCTAAAAGTAGATTTTTATTTTTGATCTTGCTTGGTGAGTTACAACTTCCGTCATTTGACAATACTACTGGAACTTCCTTTAATTGTGAAACAATATTTTCGACCTCCTTCTGAGGTCTTGAATTCAAATATTGAAATTCAAATATCTGTCCCTTGTTAGATCAATTAGTCCAAATGTCCGATCGACATAACCGCCTTGTGATCACTATTGTCCTCATGCAACATACCCATTAAACGTTTCTTTAATGGAACTCTTCGATCTATCTTCCATCCAACCGTTGGAAACAAGTTGTCTTTTCAGTTTACCCCCTCTCAATCCTGACCATTGATTTCGACCACGGTCTAACGGCTCTACTCGACCCCCTCTTTTCAACATCACCCTTTCAATCTTTACCGTTGGTTTCAACCACGATCCAACGAGTCTGCTCGACCTGTCCCTTCAACTTGCTTTTTTGATCCTTATACTGTTGATTTCGACCACGATCCAACGGCTAGGGTCGATCGACCTTCTAGATTCTTTCACCTACATATACGCCCCTTTGCCACATTTTTCAAGTTTTCCACCTTTTCGAATATCCTCTTACTATTTTTCTCTCCCCTCTTCCGTCAAATAAGCCATAATTTTCGCTGCCGTGCTTCGCTGTCAACCACCTTTTTCTACAACTTTATGAGTCAATCAACACTAGCCTCACAATGTCGATGAGTAAGTCCGTTGTTTTTGTAATTACCAATTTTTCATTCGTGAGTTTCCTTTTATTTCTTTCTCGCAAAATCCCAAACTGCTAATCCTTCCTTTAATCTCATTCTTCCTGCAAACTAAATTTTCCTTTTTCGTACTTTCTTCAGATTCTTGCACTTCAATTGAGGCCAATACATTTTCGGCCAGGATGAGCTCTCCTTCCTCATCTTCGACTTATGTTCCTCTGTTCACTCATTCTCCTACCCCCTCTTTGGAGCTCGTTCCTCAGCCAGTTTCTATTTCTTCTCAGCCTACTCCATCTTTCCGACTCGCTTACTCCTTCTCGACCCGTTTAACCTTCTGCAGTTGACCGTCCTTCTCATCGAGCTCTTCAATAGGTCAATGAGCCTGAATCTGAGGAGGAAGCCAACTCCCCTTGCTTTTTCTATTTCCTCTACTCACATCCAAACTGCTCCTTCGACCTCCCAAGCTGGCACGTCCAGGCGTCGACCTTTACCATTGACTGATTAAGCTGATTAAACTAATGAAGACATCAAGATATAGTCTCTTCCTTGACCTAAATCCCCAGTTGAAATTGTCGTCGTCCGCAAGCCAAGCGACTTCAGCCAAGGCCGAACTGAATGGCTCGAGTAATTCTTTGGTTTTTCAGATTGCCTACCAATTGGGAGTACATCATTCCTCGACCTTTGGATGTGTACGAGCACCCCTCACCTGGTTGCTATACCTTTTTCTAAAACCAGGTCAATTAGGGCTTAGATTTTCGCTTTGCCAGCACCTACTCAATCAGTGCCAAATTTTTTGTCTTCTTCTTAACCAACTTTTCCTAACCCCATCTGCAACCTTGTCTCCTATTGTACTTTTTTTTCGTAGACTAGACCGAATTGACCCTGATTTTTTCTTTTACTGTTTCGTGGCTAAAGAGCAAAGAGAGGGAATCTACCTCCAGAACCTCAATAAAGTCAATTTTTTATCCAATATTCCTTCCAATGTCTCCAAATGGAAAACAAAATTTCTCTATGTTCGACCTTTTTCTCTTATTCCCTTTTTCTTCGACTCCTTGGCTCGAGACTTTGCATTTCAAGCCTCCTAGTCCTGCTCGAAACCCTATGTCAACTTCCTTATTGCTTCCTGGAATGTGAGTAAGGTCTTTTCATCGACCATACTTGTCGATGACCGAGTCCTATTCCACCTCGGCCTCTTCAGAAGGCCGTAGCCTATCTTGTCCGAAAATGAGTTCGGTAAGCTCGAGCTTTGATTGTTTATTTCTTACATGACTTCTTATTTACATTATTGTTTTAACTGGTCATTTCCTTTTTCCAAAAAATAAAAAATAAAAAAAATAATGGACTCGTTAGACTCCCCAACCTCTACCGACAGAGGACAACGTCCACCAAAGTGGCCACCCAAAACGCTACGTCACTGGTTAAAAAATCCGATGCTTCAGCTAAAGCCAAGGGGCACACAACTCCCCTCACCAAGCAGACTGACAAGCAGGGCGATAAAACTTTGAATGTCCAGATCGCCGATTCATGCTCCAAAAAGCTCGTGTCGAGGAAGAGGAAGTCGAGGTCGTTCCCCCTCCCCTCCGCTCTCTGGTTTACAACTCCGGCAGGTCGATCATCACTTCATATCTCATGAAGGTCCTTCATCTGGAGGACACCAATCGATGGGGCACCGACCTCAAGGAACAATCTGACTACATACGCTACCCAGGACATTTCTCAGGTACACTTTGCAACTTCAACCTGTCATTTGTACATACTCTACTGCGTTTTTAAATACTCCTAACATATTATATTTGTTTCTAGGCTCTCTCTGCCATAGTCCCAATGCTCGACCAAAATATGAGTGGCTCCGACCGCTCTATTCAAGAGCTCGAAAAAGATAATCGGAGACTATATGAAGAGAACAAGATGCTGCACAATGAGAAATTCGATCTCAGACAGAAGTTGGCCCGTATTGGTCGTCGGCTAGGCAAGGAGCTTAAGGAGTAAGAGAAAGCTCTGGATCGGGAGGTCACCCGATGCAAGGTGGACGTAAAAAATGAGTTTGTCACTAGTGCGTCGAGAGGTCGACAACACCTCTTGTAGACAAACATCGGATAAAATTTTCTCAACCCCCACCACCCAACAAGTGGTCGAAGACTTTCTTTGATCTCCAAGCTTCCTGGTGAAGTGTTTCTTTGCTACTGTTGAGTTCTACAAGATTGACCTGGATAAGACCGAGAAGTAGTTCAACTTACCCGATATTAATGGGACCTTCGACCGTAAGGCTATTTGGAAAGATATCCCTGAGTATCTCACTAGCTACGAGGGCGAGTATGGTCTTCTTGAGGACCACGTTTGGTTTACGATAATGCTCGAGTGATGCCATATATGTGGCATGCTTGAGAAAAGGTTTGATCTTCGCATTCCTCGAACTACATCTCCACCCTCTAACAATCATAAGCTGTGATTGAATCTCAACTGACTGCACCCGACATGCCCCAGCAGAACGGGTTTCAGAGTGAAGAAATAGGACTCTTACGGAGAAGGTTAGGTCAATGATAAGTTATTCAAGATTACCAGATTCGTTCTGCGGTATGGCGTTGGAAGCCGAATCGTATATCCTGAACTTGGTTCCATAGAAGTCAGTTGAGACTACTCCTTATGAGATGTGGAAAGGGCGCAAGCCCAGTTTCTTACAGTTTCGAGTTTGGGGTAGCCCTGCACACGTGTTAGTGCAGGAACCTTACAAGTTGGAAAAATGTTCGGAAGCACGAGTTTTCGTCGGCTATCCCAAGGAAATAAAAGGTGGATTATTTTATATTTCCGAAGATCAGAAGGTCATTGTTAGTACGAATGCTAGAATCACAAGCCCGCGAGTAGACTTGTCTTTAAGGATTTGAGAAGTGAAGTCAATAGTTCCCCACCAAGTGCGCAAGTAGACACATCACATAATACTGCAACACGACACAGTGAGAGTGTACTAGTGCAGATAGTACCTCGTCGTAGTGGGAGGATTTCTCATTTACCCGACTGATGGATAGTTTTTGGAGATCGAGTCGATCTCTTGAAATACGTTTTCTTCTCGGTTAACAAAGAGCGAAAAGTTATAAAAGTCTGAGAAAGACTCAGTTCCAGGAGACTTAGAATCGGACCCAAAGGCCTATAACGAGGCACTCCAAGATAAAGACACAGATTCATTGAATGTTGCAATGACAGCTGAGATGAGGTCAATGGACTCCAATCAGGTCTGGGATCTTGTGAAACCACTCGATGGGGTACGACCTATTGGATGCAAGTGGGTCTATAAGATAAAGAGAGGATCAGATGGTAAGGTGAAAACCTTCAAAGCTAGGCTTGTTGCGAAAGGTTATACCTAGAAAGAGGGTATAGATTATGATGAGACCTTTTCGCCAGTAGCGATGCTTAAATCCATTCAGATTCTCTTGGCTGTAGCCGCTCATACGGATTATGAGGTCTGGCAGATGGATGTCAAGACGACTTTCCTTGATGGGAACCTTCAGGAGGACATCTATATGCAGCAACTAGAGGGATTCATTGATAAGGGACATGAGCATCTAGTGTGCAAGCTTAATTGGTCTATTTATGGACTGAAGCAAGCTTCGAGATCTTGGAATATCCGATTTGATGAGGTGATCAAGTCGTACGGGTTCACTCAATGTCCGGATGAGCACTGTGTGTACAAGAAAATCAGTGGGAGCGTGGTGGTGTTTCTTGTGCTTTAAGTAGATGACATACTTCTCATTGGAAATAATAAAAAAGAGTTATCAGACGTAAAAGTATGGTTGTCTAAGCAGTTTGATATGAAAGACTTGGGTGAAGCAGGATACATCCTTGGTATTAGGCGAATGACCGTAAGAAGATAATGATGTGCTTATCCCAGTCTACATACATAGATACTTTCTTAGCCAGATTCAGCATGCAGGATTCCAAGAAGGGTATGTTACCTTTCAGACATGGAATAGGTCTATCCAAGTAGATGTCTCCTAAGAGGTCTCAAGAGATAGAAGACATGAAGACAGTTTTGTAGAGCCCCATTTATTTGTGGATTATTTGGAAATTATTATTATTGATGATATCTATTTTTGTGATATTATTAATATTATTGTCGTTATTCAATGTCTAAATATTATTGCTTGCCTAATTGTAATTAATTGTCTAATTGTATATTTTAATTATTAATATTATTATTTTAAAATAATGAATGTATTAACTAACTATATCCAGTTTTAATTTAATTATCACTCTACCAACCGAGTTTAATGGTTATGTCAAGACCGAGGAAAATCGAAAACCCGCACGCCTAGCCGCATCGAGCATTATTATATTTTCAGCCGAAAAGCGCTAATTATTCGAGCTAATATTTTCTCGGCCCTCTTGATCGAGATTTATCGGTCTTTTATTTATTTTGGCCTAATAGCTTAATTATTTTCGGCCCAATATCTAGCATTAAGTCCGGCCCATATGCAGGTAAATAATCTCAGCCCATAGCTCATTAAACCCTACGTCTCTAAGGCTACCTCCTTTCAAGAGCACCCGCAGACATTAGAATCGGCTCTTTTTGTTTCTCTCATCAGAAATTCCTCAACTCCTCTCGTCTCTCTCACGCAAAATCAGAAAAGCCGCAGCCCTTAATCTTTATCTTTTCTCTCCTTCATCGCCCCATCTCTTCACCCTCTCGTTTTTCTGTTTTCCCGTCACGCGAATCACCATCATCACCTCTCAAGCTCGAAATCCGGCAACCTGCTCTGATGGCCTATCGATGTGAGCTTGATGGCCGTCGGTACGGTTGTCCCTGTATGATAAGATACGGTTACTCTGTGAGGTAAATCTCATAAAGACCTATGAGAAGGCCGTGTCATTGATGTGGCACGCACTCCCATGTTTCACTGATATGGCATGACTTAGCTTTGATGAGCATAGATGTACATGAGTGAGTCTTTGATGAGACTAGAGTCATTGATGTGACTAGAGATGTGACATGATTTAATTGTTTATGTTCATAGTGCGACCATGCCATTTATAAGTTATTCATGTGCATAGTGTGAGTACGATATTTAACTGTACTCACTCCCACCTGCTCGTAACTGATGCAGGTTAAGCAGTTGGCGGGTGACGAGACAAGACGGGTGGTGGTTGTGTCATTTATTATTGCTTATTTTATTTTGTTTCCGCTTAGTTTATGAACTCATGTTGGAAATTTGGATATTGATTATGTCGTTTTGAATTTGAGAATTATGAATTGTCTTTTATGATTTGGAACTTAATGAATGCTAGTGAGGTTTATGATTTAATATTCGAGCATGCTATCTTTTGTTTTAATGTGGTTGCTTTTTCGGATAAAGGCTTTTGGAAATTAGTAGCGCCCACTGAGTTTTTTTAATTAAATTAAAAAAAAAATTAAAAAGGTATTGTGATTTTTATTAAATACATTCGATAAATCTCTTAAGATAAAGTGGGGCATTACAGTTTGGTATCAGAGACAGTCTGCGTTTCTGTAGACTGGTTTTAAGTGATTATGTGTTTAGATTTTGAATTATGACCACTCGTCTTCGTCACGCCGCGCTGCTTAAGGTATGTGTTTAAATAAGTATCGAGAAATACTTATAATGTGAAGATGTGAAATTTTATATTCTTACATAGGCAGTAATGAAACTGCTTCTGTTATGACTTATTGAATTTTGGGGCTTAGGAAATCTATCCACCTTTGGTTTATTGTGAACTCTAGTGTTTGATGTTGAACTCTAGTGATATAGAGTTAAGTTCGGACTCTAGAGGTTCCTCGCTATGAGGTTCAATTGTTGTTATCGAGATAAGTTATGCCCATAGCAGTTTCCCTTACTATATTTATTCAATGTCTTCAAGTGAGGACCCAGTCAATGAGAACCGGGAATGTATTCGCCCTCTTCGGACCTTTGCCAGGTTTCGAAAAATTATGAGATGAGTCAATATCTTATAGGCTGCCATCTTTATGGATGTTCATGGCCTCTGTTCAACCTCTGGTGTGTTATGTGTTTAATGTCTCTTGTGCCTTAGTAAGGGTGAGTTCATGCTAGCTCGAAGCATGGTTAGTTGGGTAAGAGATAAGGATATGTGTTTATTTGATGCTCTAGCATGTTTATGTGTTTCGGTTAAAAACCTCACGAACTTGTGATATGATGAGATAAGTGTATTAGGTTGAGAGTCTCGTTTACATCATGATAGATTTGGCGGGTTCATGTGATGCATATGTGATCTTCGATGATTGAGGTTGAATTTATGTATTAATGTGAATTGTTATATATTATCAAACCAAAAGATGTAATAATTCAAGTGAAAGGCATAAGACTTTATTTTTCTATCTTGTTTAATAAGACCGAGTTGGACCTCGGACAACGTGTTTGATGGTATTGATGTTTAAGTCTTAAAGTATTGATATCGAAGCTTGTTTAACGTGTAATTTACGTGATTTCGAGGATATGTTGTTGTGTGATCATTTTGAGTTGATGAAGGCATGAAAACTCAATTTTTCGAGCTACAGTAAGGCTCTATTTTTGTCGAACAAGATGATGTTTCTTGGACAAGTGTTCTTCATGAGATTTGTAGTGCTCTGAATGAAGTTTCTGCGAGTTTTGGAATTTTGTGAATTGGGGTTAAAATGAATTTGTTATGATTTTTCACAGTTCATCGAGCATGCTGTTTTGATAACTCGGGCAGAAGGATTTGATTTTAGTTCATGGCTATTTAAGATGATCTTAACATGCCTGAATGGAAATGTGTTCTTCATGACAAATGTAGTATATGATATAAGCTGCCCGTAGAAATTGGAATTATACAATTTAGAGTTGTGGTTGATTTTATATGATTTTTCTAAATTGAATTTATGCCCAGGATTTTGAAACAGTGGCTGTGTGTATGCATGAAATGTATGCTCTGAATTGATGCCTTTAACGTGATTATATGTACAAATGCTCTTCATGAAAATTGTAATTTTCCTTGTGTAGTTTCTATAGGTTTTGGGTTTATATGATTTGGAGTTCCAGTTGATTTTATATAATTTTTCTAAGTGGGATGCACACCCAGTTTTTATGAAATTCAAGATTTTGTTTAAGTGTTGAATATGAGCTATGTTTAGGTGACCTAAACTTGTTCTTATGAAATAGTATTCTTCATAAAATTTGTATATTTCCATGTGTAGATTATGTAGGTCGTGAGTTTGTATGAGTTGGAGTGATGTAGCTTGAGTTGTTGCAATTTTACTAAGGTGCCGTATTTTCAAAAAATTGTTCTCTTGCTGTTTTTGCAAACTAAATGTTTTATATTCAAACTTGTTGATAATGTTATAATTTTCCAATGGGGTCTACAAAGAAGTTGTAGAGAATTGAGTTAACTACCATGGGGTTTTTTTTTGAATTTCACTAATATCATGTCTGTAACTTCGGTTATTGTGCATAACTGAGAACCTGTCAAGCTGTATATCTTTATTTATCCACTGCACCCATGTTTTGGATGTTTTCTGTATTATGTGCCTTAAGATGACTTTATCTGCCTGAGTGTTCTTCATGAAAGTGATAGAGACATGAGTTAGGGATATTTTCCAAGTCGTTTCATCATGATATGATCGGCAGACTGAAAGCTATATGCATTTTAAATTCACGCGCATGCTGAAAATAGGAGCAAGATCATGTTTAAGTTTCCAAATTGAGTGTGAATTTCAAAAAATTAAAAATTAAAAATTTATTTTCGTCAATTTTCATGTATATGTGACTTAATCTGATCAGTATTTTGATGTTAGCTGGAAACACTTGCGAGAGAAGCTTTACGCTAGACCTCGAAGTGTGGAGGCTATAGTTGTATTTGTGGTCGATCTCGTTTAGGACCGCCGGCACGATTAGCTACCTGAGTAAAAGCTGTCGTGACGGCCGACATTTTTAGTCGGAAGGGTCAAGCGAGCTAACCATTCTAATGTTCGGCGATGATCGCCGAGGTTAGGATTTTTCCCGGTAGTGATGCCAATGTTCGATTTCTATGGGAAATTGTAGCTCAACAGTAATGCCTAAACTGTTGTATTTTGAGAAGTCTTGTAAGGAAGCCTTTTTTCTATCTGAGTATCTAGGAATCTATGGACCCGAAAATTAAAATTTCTGGTGTGTACCTTAAACTGAACGCCGAACCTGGATGGGTGTAGCCACGCAAAGTGGTGGCCGAGCCTGCACGCCCGTGCTGAGAGACGTGAGGCCAACTGCAGTGGCCGACCGTTGACTCGCACGAGAGCTGCCGCCGCCATCACCGAACGCAGGAACTCCCCAGGCAGTGTGTACGACCAAACCTTGATCTTGCAGCTGGTCCCTGAACAGGTGCATGCACACGTCCCGGCGCCCCGCTTATGCAGCGCCTGTGTGTGTGTCATCTCTCGGGTGACAGTGCCTTAAACTCCAAACCGAACCATTGTATGAAATCCCTAATCAATGACTCTTGATATGTGAGGCTTGTCGATAAGTTTTCATTTGTCTTGTGCAAAATTCTCTTGTGATAGCGAGATTTAGGTCCCTCATCGTTTTCGGGCAGTGTCCCGAGCCTCGATTGGAGACTATGTATACTTCGTAGGGATCGAGACCTACGAGGAAGGAGAGAGTCCAGGTGTTAGATCGTTAGTATGGGAATATCGAGCATCCCTAATCGTGAGACCGATTCTGCGATAGGAGATTGTTTTCGAACATCTAGTCGATATTTCCTAAACCGCATTCGAGGTGTTATTCGAGTCGGCAAGGGAAGAGTTGTTGACAACAGTATCAAACAGAGCCGTGTGTTCTGTAGGTATCGATGTTGTAGATATCGTGTTATTGTGGATTGTTAGCCCATCCGTATGGGATTCTGTGGCGGCCTGTTTTATAAGGACGCACAGATCATGTCGTTGTAGCAATCGAGTTCCCTACCGTGGCCCGGGCACGACATGGAAGCTCGATACAACAAATCAACCCTATATGTTGATTTTGTTGGAGTATGCTATCGAGACACGAAAGGACCAGTTAGGGTCTTGTGTATTGGTAGATGAGTAGAGCGTGAGAATTCCTTACCATGTGAGGTGGTTGGTACGGATATGGGTGGAGTATGTCGTTGTTCTGGTTACTGCCACGCGTACTCAGTCCTATTTTGATTCTCGACCAAGTCGATGACTTAGCCTGATAGTTGACTCCACCACCGGAACTCGCGAGGATGCATGACACGTTCTGTGCCTCTTGATGGAGGAAACGTGTGCGTGATCTCGGAGTATATGTGAGATGCGACGAGCTGCGTGATAGGCAGAACCCTACCTGTATGGAGGTACCGGTGACCTATTGGATCAGAGGGTCCATTAGGATAAGGCTGGGAAGGGTACTCGTCAAGTCCAGTGGGAGGGTGGTCAAGGCTAGGCGACTTGGGAGAGGGAGACCGAAATTCGGAGGAAGCACCTGAATTTCATGTACATGCTGTCTCCTCTTATTTCTCGTTAGAATCTCGTCGTAGTTTGTTGTTCGAATTCCGAGGACGGAATTCTTTGTAAGGTGGGTAGACTGTAGCGCCCCGTTTATTTGTGGATTATTTGGGAATTATTATTATTGATGATATCTATTTTTGTGATATTATTAATGTTATTGTCGTTATTCAATGTCTAAATATTATTGTTTGCCTAATTGTAATTAATATCCTAATTGTATATTTTAATTATTAATATTATTATTAAAAATAATGAATGTATTAACTAACTATATCCATTTTTAATTTAATTATCGCTCTACCAACTGAGTTTAATGGTTATGTCGAGACCGAGGAAAACCGAAAACTCGCACGCCTAGCCGCATCGAGCATTATTATTTTTTCAGCCGAAAAGCGCTAATTATTCGGACTAATATTTTCACGGCCCTCTTGATCGAGATTTATCGGTCTTTTATTTATTTTGGCCTAATAGCTTAATTATTTTCGGCCCAATATCTAGCATTAAGTCCGGCCCATATGCAGGTAAATAATCTCAGCCCATAGCTCATTAAACCCTACGTCTCTAAGGCTACCTCCTTTCAAGAGCACCCGCAGACATTAGAATCGGCTCTTTTTGTTTCTCTCGTCAGAAATTCCTCAACTCCTCTCGTCTCTCTCACGCAAAATCAGAAAAGCTGCAGCCCTCAATCTTTATCTTTTCTCTCCTTCATCGCCCCATCTCTTCACCCTCTCGTTTTTCTGTTTTCCCGTCACGCGAATCACCATCATCACCTCTCAAGCTCGAAATCCGGCAACCTGCTCTGCTCCCGTATTGCACAGAAATTCCGGTGCCACCATCTTGCCGCCACGACCTCAACATCTCCGGCGATTCACGAGCAGCACGACCCCAAACATCCATCATCATCACCAGCAGGAGCCTTCCCTCACGCGCAGCACCACCGGCGACGACCATCGAGCGCTGCTGCACCTCCGGCGTCCGCGACCAGCAGCCAGCCGACGTCACTTCTCTCGCCGCGAGCCGTTTCCGACGAAAACCAGCCGTCAACTCCTCAGCCGTGAACCGTCGCAACGACCAGCGAGCTCCGTCGAGTTCATCCTCTGTCGCGCAGCAACCCAAGCAGCCGAGAACAGCCGCTGCTGCACCTCCTTTCCCGGTGAGACGCGAGAATCCGTTTGTGTCCTACGTTCCGCTTTTCCGAATGTTTCCAGAGAACGGTACCTAGTCGATCCCGTCTCGTTTAAATTGTATATATATTAGTTTCTTATCGTGTTTGAATGACGTGATGTGCTCTTTGCGATTTAATATACGCGACGTGATTTTAGGTGAAATCGTGATTTTATGTGAAATTGTGTTTTATGTGTCGTTTAAGTGTTCGGGGATCTCTTCAATTATGAGAAATTGAACGAGACCCCGAAAGTTGTGTAAGTCGGTGGATATTGGAACAATGTCGAGCCCTTGGTCTTATGAGAAGGCCTCGGACGAGAATTTTCGTGTTTCGGATTAATTGTCAAAGTTGTCGAGCATATATGTCGCTGTTTTGGTGTTTGAATTTTTAAAAATCGCACACTGTTCGGAATGACTTGAAATTTTGAGGGATATGTTATCTGTTCATTTCAAGCCTTGTGTAAAAATTTTGTAATTGTTAGAGGCATGTAGCTATTTCTAACAATTAAAGTTAATTCTGATCAGAATCTTGTTAAATTCGTAATAAATTGGTTAGTGAAATAAATGAGCTGAAATTCGAGTATGTCAAACCTCTATGATGTTTATATGTTGTGTTAAAGTTTTAGAATATTTGGGCTTGATTTGATATGGTTAATAAATTATTTATCGAATCTGCTGAACATTGTTTGAATTTTTATAAATCGTTTGTTTGATGAAAAATTCCGAAATTTTGCTGACATGCTCATTTTATTTGTATTATCAAGCTGTTAAACAATGGGAATTTTTGGTGTCCATTTTGATTCGGTTTTGATTTAAATTCGATAAATTGCTGAATCTTGTGTGAATTTTTAAAAATAGCACATTTAATGTCCAGGGCTGATATTTTTACATGTTGTCTCTATCATGCTGTAGCTTGTTGTGTTAAATTTTCAAGTCCCGAATCGTTCATTTGGTTCAGATATGAATTCAGGTGTGTTTTTTGCTGATTTCTTTTAGGAATTTTATGAATTAATGTGCTTTGAGTTTATAGCTAAAAATTTATGGTTTTACTTATTACTGCGAGGTGTAATTTTGTGTAAAATTTCATAGCCTAAGTCGTAGGGTAGCCTGACCACCTATTTTCATGTGATTAATGATTAATATTTTCGAAACATGATTTTGAAATAAAAGTTGGGAATCGACTTGCTTTTCGTTTTGATGTGAGTTTGACTTGGTCAATCCTTATATGGATTTATGTGAACTCCCATATGTGGTTTGGTCGAGTTTAGTGCCGAGTCTTAGTGTTCCAACATCCACAGGACTTCACGAACTACTTAGTCGAAACAAGTTCGACTAGGTCTGTTTTGTGTTTTCCGTTTAAAGTCAAGATAGATGTTGATTGTAGCATCTTGACTCATGTAGGTAATTGAGGAGTCCAGCCTCGACCTACTACCAATTGCTTTGAGTTGTTATCAATCCGGAATCCAGGTGGGTTATTCAAAAATTATCTATGCATGTGTGATTTATTCATGATAAAAGTTTGGTGTGATCTATGTATGAAAATGAGCATGTAGCCTATCGATGTGAGCTTGATGGCCGTAGGTACGGTTGTCCCCGTATGATAAGATACAGTTACCCTGTGAGGTAAATCTCATAAAGACCTATGAGAAGGTCGTGTCATTGATGTGGCACGCACTCCCATGTTTCACTGATATGGCATGGCTTAGCTTTGATGAGCATAGATGTACATGAGTGAGTCTTTGATGAGACTAGAGTCATTGATGTGACTAGAGATGTGACATGATTTAATTGTTTATGTTCATAGTGCGACCATACCATTTATAAGTTATTCATGTGCATAGTGTGAGTACGATATTTAACTGTACTCACTCCCACTTGCTCGTAACTGATGCAGGTTAAGCAGTTGGCGGGTGACGAGACAAGACGGGTGGTGGTTGTGTCATTTATTATTGCTTATTTTATTTTGTTTCCGCTTAGTTTATGAACTCATGTTGAAAATTTGGATATTGATTATGTCGTTTTGAATTTGAGAATTATGAATTGTCTTTTATGATTTGGAACTTAATGAATGCTAGTGAGGTTTATGATTTAATATTCGAGCATGCTATCTTTCGTTTTAATGTGGTTGCTTTTTCGGATAAAGGCTTTTGGAAATTAGTAGCGCCCACTGAGTTTTTTTAATTAAATTAAAAAAAAAATTAAAAATTTATTGTGATTTTTATTAAATAAATTCGATAAATCTCTTATTATAAAGTGGGACGTTACAAGTTTCTTATGCTTCGGCAGTAGGAAATCTTATGTATGCTATGCTGTGTACGAGGCCGGACATTAGCTACGTCGTTGGCATGGTAGCTAGAAATCAAGGTAATCCAGGACGGGAACATCTGTTCGCGGTGAAACATATACTCAAGTACCTGAAGAGGACTACGGAGAACATGTTAGTTTACCGTGTAGACAGCTTGTTATCTCTAGGTTACAACAATTCCGATTTCCAGTCAGACAGGGACGAGAGTAAGTCAGCCTCAGGTTATGTGTTTACCTGGGTAGGTGGAGCCATTTCATGGAGGAGTGCTAAGCAGAAATGCGTGGCAGACTCTACCATGGAAGTCGAGTACATAGCAGCCTCAGAGGCAGCGAAAGAGGCAGTTTGGCTCAGAAACTTCTTAGTGGACTTAGAGGTGATTTCGAGTTTTTCACAATGTATAATCGTGAACTATGATAACAGTGGAGCACTAGAAAACTCAAGGGAACCACGATCCCACAGAGAAAGCAAACACATAGAGCGCAAGTACGATCTAATACGAGATACCGTTGGTAGAGGAGACGTTGATATTGTCAAGATTGCATCAGAGGACAACTTAGCTGATCCTTTCACGAAGAGTTTGCCGGGGAAGGTCTTCGTCAAACATGTGAAAGGAATGGGAGTCACTGCATGGCGATAGGATCGACATAGGTCTTTTAGAATAACGGATTGATAGGAATATACTTGTAAAAGCGAAAGCTTTAAGTATAAGTGAGAGATTGTTAGTGTTATATACTGAAAGCTTGGCTTTGGATGATATTATACTTTTACCCTTTATGAATGAGAATCATGTTTGATTAAACAAGTTCCATGTTCTGATGTTTTGTACTTGGATAGAATGGGTTATCATCGGACGAACATAAAATCATTCTGTTAGTTATTTAAGAAATAAGAATTGTGGTTCCCAACCTAGATGGAAATGAATACCCCATCCGAACGGTTGTAGTGTCAATAGTACAGTTGGTCTTGACTGATTAGTTGCACTAGTACATTTATGTGTTGAACAGGATCCCAGAGAGGAGAAGTTCGTCTTATACTGATCGACGTAAACGAACTCGACCTCGGTTAATTAATGCTTTCTATTAACCCATAAGATATTAAATAGACATATATATGCAGTACATGTTACTTTGATTCGCTTGGGTGAGGTTCAGATCGCTGGATTAATATCCTACTGTCTTGGATAATATTGTTGTTTGTATGATGTGCTCTTAGGATATTTACGGTCACCATGTACGTTTAGTTTGATGATGTCCCAAATTGAGTTCATGAAGGATTGTTATGCTAAACCCTGCAGTTGGATTAAGTTCTGGCATAACAGAAATGTGATGAACGAGTGCTAGCTTTGGTGAAATAAATAATATATTAAATAATTCTTGATTGTCAGTAATCGAATTAATTAATGGACATTATATCTTAATATGAGGATGTAATTCGAGTAATTATAATTGGAGTCTCAAATGTAATTTGGGCTAGGAAAAGGGAGTGCAATAATATTACGTTAGTGGACTGTAATATTATTTAAGTAATTGGAAGAGTGGGCTTGGCCTACAGTTAGTCCATTATTTAAAAAGCCCAATTCCTATTCTCCTAAGGATCCCTACTGTAGCTCTCTATATGCATCATTAAGCTCATGAGAAGAGATCGATCAGATCATAATTCACGTGATACACGCCGCCCCCTAATCTCTCTCTCTAGATCTCATTCGAGTTTTATCTTCTTCTTGTTGCTCCACCGGTACAAGTTGGAGAGGTGTAAGAGTGATACAATAAAAGATCTCATAGTAATCAAGATTCCGAGATCATCAACCGATCATTGACCACAGTAACCCTTCGGACAGCCGCCGCCGACCCACGGCAAACGACGACCCGCCGCGCCGATCGCCGTAATCCCGCTAGAGACGATGCGCGACACGGATAGCCTCGCGAAACGACGCGACGCGCCACACGAACCGATCTAGCCATCCGTTCGTGTGATTTAGCTTCCGTTCGTGTGCTGTTCCCGGTCATCTTGAATGAGACAGATTCAGAAATTTTTAAGTCGTAAGTTTTCTATGTCAAACCTTTAGATCCGCAGCGCATAGGTTTTCCATTTTCTATTGAATTCGTGATTTGTGCATAACGAGATCCTCATAAGTCCCAACAAGTTGTAGCCCCCATCACCGAACGCACGAACTCCCCAGGCCAGTGTGTACGGCCGAACCTCGATCTTGCAGCTGTCCTCCGAGCAGGTGCACGCACGCGTCCCAGTGCCCCGCATATACAGCACCAGCGAGTGTGCCACCTCTCGAGTGACAGTGCACTAACCCCGAACCGTTGATCCCTTTTCGATTTGTGCGACTGGTTTTTCGTGTCAAGCAATAAATTCTCCTTTGAACCTTTCTTCCGAGCTTTGAACCAAGAGCTCCAAGTTCCACTGAACCGTTGTATGAATTCCCTAATCAATAATTATCGATTAATTGAGACTTGTCGATTAGTTTCCTAGACCATATGTGGGATTTTTCTTGAGTTGGCAAGATTGAGGTTTCGCGTTGATATCGGGAGGAGTTGTGTGAATGTTGGATCCCACACTCATTTTTTCTTATGCCATGGGGCCCCCGCTCATTTTTTTCCTATGCCATGGGGGCCACGCTCAATTTTTCTTAATATATATATATATATATATATAGAGAGAGAGAGAGAGAGAGAGAGAGAGAGAGAGAGAGAGAGAAAATTGCAAATTTGGTCCCAAAACTTTTGTTGTTTCCCACATTTGGTCCCAGACATGTCAATTATGGTCCTTTTTTAATTTTTTTTGCCAATTTGGTACCACACCGTCAAGACTTAACAATCTTCTTAATTTACCCGTTAGCCAAAGTCTGTTAAGTCTAAATGGAGGGAAAATTAGCTGCTTCATCTTCAAATGGCGGGAAAATTGTGAACGCAGCCCCTTATAAATAATACTTAACAGAAGATCAATTCTTCATCTCCAACCATCTTCCACCAAAAAAAAAAAAGAAAGAAAAAATGAGTTTTTCAAGTTTATCTATGCGAGAAACCAGAGTTCTTTGTTCTTGCGATAAGTATGCTTGAATGACAACTTCATGGACGTCAGCCAATCCCAGAAGGAGGTACCTGGAGTGCGGGGAGAACGCTTGCACATTTTGGAGGTGGTTTGACCCTTCGATGTGTGCAAGATCAAAGGAAATAATACTTGGTTTGTTGCGTAAAATAAATCGCCTAGAAGATGAAACCAACCGGTGACATGCTGACAGTGCAACTACTTTTGAAGCAAAGGAGAAAAAAATGAAGAAGGCGAATAAGCTGGAAAAAGACATTAGTCAACTCAATAAGAAGAACAACATTTTAGTGCTAGTACTTGTAATCTCATGGTTGGTGTTGATGTTTAAAAAATGAGCAGATCATGTATGGTATTTGCCCTAATGTATGATGTTTCTGATTTTCTATGTAAGCAACATATTGCTCTATATTAACTAATGCTTCTAATTTGCCAATAGCCTTATTTCATTCAATTTTATTCTTCCTAACAAACCCATTGATAACACACTTTGAGTCTGCACCATTGATAACACACTTTCATTTACAATACAACCATTGCAAAGACAAAAACAAAAGAAGCAGCACAATTCTACACATTTCACTTATTTAGACCAAGCACCATTGGGCATACGAAATGAAAAACAAATAAAGCAGCAAACACAATTGCTCATATTAAATCCAAAAACAACCACCACTGCCCATACCAATTCATACCAATTTAATACTAATTCACCACAATTGATCATACCCAAGTTCAAAAGAAGCCAAAAGATCAAAAGAAGCCACCACCATCTGCTACATGCATTGTTCACAGCACACCCAAGTCAAATTTCCAAAAATATTCACAAAACATGACCAAAATATATTACTCCAATAGACAAGAAACTGCAGATAATGGAGGAAATGAATAGAGGACTTATGGCATTGGATTACTTGAAGAAGCAGCCTCTTTAGTGCCTTTTCTTGCTCCCTTTGATGTTGTTGCCTATATAATAAAAACAAAAAAACCAAACAACCTTTGATTTCATAAAAGAAACAATATAAAAGGAATACATAAACATTAAAATAGAACAAGACATAGATAACTCACATTCATTTGGGATTGAGGCTGACTTTCAGAAAACAGGGATGCAGGTGGGAACTCATCTCCTTGATCTCCTCAGCTTCAGCTCCCATGTCAAAGGCACCATCTTGAAGTCCACTTTCAACCAGCTTCTTCCACTCACAGGTTCTTTGATTATGCCCCTTTTGATGCAAAAACTTACAAATCATCTGTCCCCATTGCTTTTGACTTTTCTGTCTAAATTTGGTTTTTTTACCACCACCCTTATCTTCACATGCTCCCATCCTTCTCTCACCCACAGGCCTACCCCTTTTTCTTTTTCCAAAATTTGGAGGTAATGGAGGAATGTATCCTGTCTTATCCCACAGATTAGGTCCATATATTGGATTAATGGCTACTTTATACACTTTGGCATAGGTTTCACATGAATAACATTCATCGACAAAGTCCACTGGTTGATGCCCTTGTGCCAATAATGCACTGCATGCATGCTTGCATGGAATTCCAGTCAAATCCCATTTCCTGCAGCTACATGTTCTATCCTTCAAGTTCACAATGTGTCTATCACCACCACTACAATCCAGTTGGTAAACCTAATCAGTGGATTTGATTGGTATGCAATCACATGACTATCTACAATTTTTCTGATCTTATGACATATCTTCTTACCCTCCCACTTTCTCTCAGCCATGTCCCTATTCTCTTGCAGCTTACTCATCAAGTACTGCCTCATCCATTCCAGCATGGTTAGGATTGGTTTCTGCCTGGCCTCTAAAATACAACTATTGAACACCTCACATATATTATTCAGCAACATGTCTGATTTAACACATGTGCTGAAGTGGGATTTTGACCACTGTTGTGCAGGTTTTTCTTAAAGCCATTCCTTGCATTTAGGGTCAATTTCTCCAACCCTTTTCATTGCCTCTTTAAATCAGGAACTATTATTTCTTTGGCTGCTCTCCGTAAAGCCTTCTTAAATGCAAGTCCTCTGAACCCAGCTGTCTGCATGTTGGCATGTAAATGTCTCACACAAAATCTGTTATGAGACCTGGGAAACACATCTTCAAATGCAGGAATTAGGCCCTTCTGTTTGTCAGATATAAAGGTCCACTCCTCCTCATTAACAATATCCAACTCCATCTTCAGATTCCTCATAAACCAGGACCAATAATCTCTAGTTTCTCCCCCAACAACTGCATATGCCACAGGATATGGATTGTTAGAAGGATCTACTCCAACAGCTGTGAGTAGAATTCCACCATGCCTATTCTTCAAATGGCAACCATCAACTCCAATTAACTTCCTACATCCAGAAATAAATCCAGCCTTCAATGGGGCTAAGCAAATGTAGATTTTTTCAAACTTTTCTCTCCATCAGGACTAGGGGCATCTGTAAGTGTCAACAGGATGGTGCTTCCAGGATTTTTCTCTCTCAATGTTTCAGTATAATCCCACATTTTGGCATATTGGTCTGCATGGTCACCCTCAATTGCCTTCAAAGCAAACTGCTTGGCTCTGAATGTCTTGTTCTTGGATACATGGTACCTTAGATCACCAATTGCATCTGTCCTGAAACCCCTGAGTGATCTTTGAGGATCACTTTTGAATGTTTCTTCATATTTGTCTACAATCCATCTTGATGTCAAATTCTTCATTTTCCAAGATCTTGCACAAGAGTGCTTGTAATTGTAAGATCTTATCATGTAGGCTTCTTCATTGGTCACTTTAATGGCATTAATTTCCCAGGGACACCCAGTTGCCTTTTCATAACACCTAACATAAATTCTTCTTTTATCATTTTTGGTAAACTTCAAGCTTCCATGGGTTAGCACTCCATGGTTAGCAATGGCTTGCTTAAACATCTTCTTGGAAGGATACTTCTGGCCAAGTTTGAACTTTGGATTGTTAATATGCCTCTCATTGAAGACATTGCTCTCAGTTTTCTCATTTTCCCCATTTTCTTCATCTGAGTCACTGCAATTAGAGACTGCTATACTCTATGCACTTGGAACTGGAACTGTCAGTGAACATTTCATCATCAACCTCATGTTGGTTCTCTTTCTGTTTAGGCCCCTCCACACACTCCTCTGCCTCAACATTTTCTTCAAAAAGGATATCATCAAAACCACTATCAGTGTCCATACTTGCACAAAATTCCTCATCTTCAGATTGGTCACCCTCATCCTCAAGCACCCTCCTATCTCCATCACCTACAGGCACACTCCTATCACCATCACCTACAGGAACACCCCCATCACCTACAGCAACACCTCCATCACCTACAGGAACACCCCCATCACCTACACTCCTATTTCGTGTTTTCTCAGCATCTAACCATATATGGACTTCTCTCTTCTTATGCCTATAAATAGCCAATAACAAATCTGTTTCCATGGTCATCTCTCTGAACTTTTTGAAGGAGTCAAACCTGTAAAACCTTTTGACTCCACCATAACCCAACTCCTCACAATATCTACACAAGTCACCCATGTTAACCTTACTTTTGTCCACATAATCAAATGCACTAATCTCTCCTCCCACATAATCAAATGTCCTGTAGTTATATCATCCATTATAACCCCATCATGGTGTATTTTCAAGGTAAGGTAATAGGGGTCTTTGCCACCTGCAATTCAATAACATGAAACAAATAAAAAATTTGATACAATGGACCACCACTCATCACTTGTAAAAATAAACAACATAACAAAAAGTTCATGGACCACCACTGGAATTGTCTACTTGAAAAGAAACATAACAAATTCATGGACCACCACTCATCAGTCATCACAAACATGTCCCAGATACATTAAATCCCAACATTAAAGTTCCTAATTTATCAGAAAACGAATGTTAGTAGACCACATACATTAATCCCAACATTACCAGTACATTGTACGGAATAAACACTAAAGCCATAATTTATCAGATAAAATAAACCCTATAGCCCTAAATTGTCAAATAAAATAAACCCTAAAGCCCTAAATTATCAAATTCCATCATCTACTATATATACAGAACGAAAAACCCTAAATAATGTACAAAACTAACATAACAAATGCTAAATGTTTACAAAATTGAAAATAAAAAAAGCCATGAGAGTGAAAGAAGAGTCACGACAATAAATGTTACCGTATTTCGGGTTTGAAGAACATGCTGCATTCTCTGAGCGAAGCATGTTGCACTGTCGGCGTCAAATTTGCAATTTATCTAGGGTTCATGTCGATTTTTGTGATGAATTTGGATGGAAATTTCTGCCCTAATTTTCGCGAGAGAGAGAGAGAGAGAGAGAGAGAGAGAGAGAGGACTCGATTTTGTTAATGAGAGTGACAGTTCGATTTTCAAGTATAAGATAACAAATTAAAAATAACGACTAACGGGTAAATTAAGAAGACTGTTAAGTCTTGACGGTGTGGTACCAAATTGGCAACAAAAATTCAAAAAGGACCATAATTAGCATGCCTGGGACCAAATGTGGGAAACAACAAAAGTTTTGGGACAAAATTTTCAATATATTTATAATTAAAACTTATTAAAAATAAAAAAATATATATATATATATACATAAAGAAAATAGTATAAAATATGTATAGAAATGTAAAAAATATTTACAATATATTACTAATTAAAAATTATTTCCTATGTTATTTTGTATAAATTAACAATATTNAAGAATGATCATTTGATAATCTTTCATCAACAAAAATGCTATGGAATATTGTGCAAAAGTTCAATTTAAATCAAATTTTCTTCCAAAAAACTTATTTTTCATAAATTAAAGATGTTGAACATAAATTATAAATACATGAAATCTTTTTTTTTTAAAAAATAAAATGTTAAGGGTGATACGAATTCTAAGTTTTTAAAAAAATGATGGTACATGCATCAACATTTTTATATTTATAGTAAATAAGTTTTTATATGAAATGAGTGTTTCGACTTAAAACTACAAGTTCGTTATTTAACGTTTATTGTAATTCAAACTATCGTCATTCACTACAAGTCCTGTAAGAAGGCAAATGTGAGAAAGTTCAGCCCGGCCAAGCCCTATTGTGGTCGTTGGCTCAGTTTGCAAGCATTAGCTTGGGGGCCGCCTTCTCTAGTCATGGCGTGATGATTGATTGTATCTGATGTTGATGTGGTTCTGTTTCGAATGCTCGAGTGAACTGTTATGACTGATTTAGCTGGTTTTTGTGGTGTGGTATTATAGCTCTGAACAAAATGAGAAATATAGCTCACTACTGAATCAGATATTTGCTCGGTAACCATGCCAAATCTTCTCTTCTTGCGCATGTCAGATTTTCAGTTTTCAAGTTTATCAAAGCCACATCAGAATTCAGAGCTTCTCACTTTTTAAATTTAAGCCAATAATTGTATGTATTTTAGTGTGTTGTTAGAAATTTGGAATAGTGCGATGCATTTATTGTATATGTTTTAATATTTACGAACACATTTTCTGTGGGAGTCGGAGGCTTGATATAATCTAAATGCTGTGAAAGGTGAACATATTCAAATTGTTAAACCATCTTACGTATGTGCTGTAAGATGCGCACAATTTTGCTTTCAATTGTTAATTAGCTTCAGAAATGCACTAGAGCGAGGGCTTGTATTATGGTATATGAAATTCGGATAATTGCATCCTGTCATCAAGCTACTGGGAGTTCTTCACCTAGCATACTGAACTCTGGAAATCTCTCTTTTTTTGCATGCCTAAATCTAACTTTGTGTGTTTTACACTTAACCCATTACTGGGTTGGAGGTAATTTTACTGTTCTAACTTTTGGTCAGTGTAGGGTGTAGAATCCAATGAATCATATATAATTCAGATGTCATTAGTATTTCCAAGTTTCAAGGGAAAAGTGTCAAAGAACCTCCAACTTACACATGCTTGATATTCAAAATAGAATAAAATAAAAGTAAAAAAGCTAAGAACTGATGTGTGAATGGAATTAGCTCGTATTTAAGCATGAACATGAATACATGATCATCTTCTCCTGTCAAGTGTCAAGTGTCAAGTGTCAAGTGTCAAGTCTCGCAGGAGAAGAAACCTCATGTATTAATTTTCAACCTCTTAAATTAAATCTTACATTTTGTTTCCTTATAATATCGATAAGGTTCTGATTGCTGTAGTTTCACTAGTATAATCAGTTTCATTACCATTCCTTTTCTTTTCTAAGCAATTATGTGTGCTTCGACTTTACAGAAAGGGGAGTATGATGCAAAGAAGAGAAGTGTGAAGCTAAAAAGTGAACTTGTTTGGAATGCTTCCAATGTTGATTCAGAGATACTTTATGCGTTCAATTTCATCGTATCTTTAATGATAATTTCTAATTAGAGAACATGTTTTGTTTCTTTTGGTGAATCTTGATTAACCTCTCGAATATGAAGGATACCTACCTCTATTTTGAGACACCTCAACTTTTGAATTAGCTGGTTGTTTAACCTATACAAGCGGCATTGAAGATTTGAATGCTCTCTTTTGTTTTGTTTTGTAACTCATGATACATTTGTTTGAAGGATGTAGATTTGTTAAATTTTCTCAGAGAGATATGGAACAGGGAGCCATTAATGCGCTTAATGGAACATACACCATGAGAGTAAGTTCCTTTCATCTGCATTCAATACCGTCTCATAGACAGTTGGTATATCATATGAATTTTCCATTTCTGGGATGTGATCAGCCATTAACGATTAGATTTGCTGATCATAAGAGACCTAAACCTGGGTATTCCAGGTTGCTTTTGTACACTAGAACTTTTCTTTTTTGTTTTATTCGGTCACGTCGAAGGTTTTTTTGTTGTTGTTCTTTTCTAGTTCAAATTTTTTGTTTTCCTTGCTTATTGGACTTAGTTCCATGCTCGTGATTTTTTTTTTTTATTTAATATCTGATAGTAAGAACTCTATATTTCTCTTGTAAGCATGTTAATCTATGTACCATTGTTCTCCATTTGTGCTCATGGTGGGAAAACTTCAGTGGTCTCCCTTTTACCAATTCCAGATATTTTAGCTATGATACACTTACGTGTACTTATTTATATTTTAAATTTTCATTTCCAAAAGTGGTTCTTCTTTTGCTGGACCTGTTTTTGGCCCTCGCTTTTCATCCCCTACAATCAGGTATTTCCCTATTATCTCCTATGATTAACTTCTTATTACATTTCTTGTTGTTTTTAGATTTTTCTAATATTTTATGTTCCTTCTTTTTTGTGGATGTGTTTGGATCAGAATGCTTTGGATCAGAAATTGTTTTTGCTATAAATCTGACAGTAAATATTCATATCTGACATCTGACAGTAAGAATTGTGACTCGCTTTATGTACTACATCTGTAGATTCTATCATCTTGTTAGATAATAGATTTAACGGTTTATGCTTTGATTTGTTGGTTTCATGTTTAACTTTTTATTTCATGGAATATCCCACTGTAATTTTGAGCTGGGTAGGTGGTATTGAATTGTGTAGTTTGGATGCAGTGTTTGATTTTATGTTAGCGGTAGACTCACATGCTTTCAGTTTGCTATATATTAACTGAACTTGGTTTTGGGAGTTTTATTGAATTAGATTTAATGGTGGTATATTGGTCTTTGAGAAAATGAAAACTATACATGTAAGAGTTTTGTATCATGTATCTTGAATAACATATGACAGAAATGATTCATTTATAATGGAAAATAAGAGAATAGTTTTGAGAGTTTTCTTAGCGTTTGAATCGGATTCGAAGCATTAATTTTGGAACTTATTGGTGTTATACATGACAATATAACCATGGCTTATTCAGTGATGATTATATGTCCAGCAACATTAGCCATGAAATTCAGCCGTTGTTATTGGACTATGGACGGCAAATTTCCTATGGACTTATATTGTGTGGCTAAGTATGTTGTCTTTGGTCGTTTTCTTAAATTCAGTTGTAGTTTTTGCCATCCCTGTACTTTCAGTGTGTATTAATTATGTGAGCCATTATTTTTGGGTTGGTGTTTGCAAAGCAGATCCCAACTGCTCGGCTGGATTTTGAAAATCCTCAGTGTAGATTTTGTCACCTGTGCCGTTAATCCTGTGGCCTGTCATTGCAATCATCGGAAGCATTCTTGGAGGAATAGGGTACGACTTTTTTAAGTTGCAGGTATTTTAAGATGCTTATGGTGGTTTCAGGTATTCTAAGTTGCTTATGGTGGTTTGTTTAAATATGTATTCTAGGTTGCTTATGGTATATTGATTAAATATATTTTAGGACGATGGAAATGAAGATGGAGTAAGTGAAGCAAATGATGATGGCCATGATGACCTTGTCGAGAAGTAATAGAAAAAAAGACCAGTGCGAATGCAATGTTCTTTTCTTAGTAATAGGTGTTTGCCTTATATTGTTCGCCCTTTGTATAGAAGTTTTCATTATTTTGTTCCACCTTATGATGTTTTATATTGATATTAGAACTATTTTAACTTTATTTATAATATTTATTTGTTCTACTTTGCTTATTGATCTTTTTTATTGTTATTTTATTTACTTTATACCAAAAATTGTTGTAGTTGAAAGAAAATGACAAATCATAATGAAATACATATATATATATGATACAGCCATGAGTAGTGGTCCATAAGGGGCCGGTCATAGATCAAATTTACTCACAGTTGGGCGTGGTCGCCTCATGGGTGAGGAAGCTCGGCATGGGCGTACATGGTGCCTCTAGTGGATGGGAGCTAGGCGTAGTCCAATTAGCTAGGCATGATTTAACCAGCTAGGCGTGGTTCAACCAGACAGGCGGAGGATAGCTCGGCGTGAGTTAGGTCGAATACCTAAGGTTGGTCACCTAGGCGGAAGACCTAAGGTGATCACCTAGGCACCTCGCCACCTGGGCGGCTTGGCCAGAGGGTTCAGCCGAGGGGACCAGAGCCTGGAGGTGGCTTCATGGTCGAGTCACAAAGAAGTTGTGGTGATGAGGACTCTAGAGTTTTGGATATGTCTGACCCAGATTAGAGATAGACACAAGGAAGACTTCTAGATCGATAAGAACTCTTCAACCCGTACATGACCTCACCTATAAAAGGGAACAAGTTCATTCATTTTACACAACACACATACACATATTACCTCGTTACTCTGCCGTTTTCTCTCCGAAACACCACCACTGACTTGAGCGTCGGAGTGTCAACGCCGGGACCACCCCCGGCGTGTTTTGCAGGTACCGGTGATCGAGAAGGTTCAATTCGGTTCGAGAGAAGCGGTCGAGCGGTTCAGGTATTTGTGGTATAACAAATTGGCGCCGTTTGTGGGGATAACTCAATCTTCTACCAGAGTATCATAGGCTGTTTTTTCTCACCAAAGAAAAAGAAGGGCAACGGGGATCATGGCAGGAGATAACTTGAAGAAGAACTTGACGAAGGATATGGAGGAGGCGTGGACGAAGAGGGCTCTTAGAACAGGGCCGCCGCTCGGGTGGTCGCCGTCGCCTACTACCCCCAAGGAGACGTTGACCCCGACACCGCCACCAGGAGCTCAAGGGCGTTTGGCGAACCCAGGAGAATCGGGTGGCTTGACCAACAAGGAGAAGGAGCTAGGCGGTGCAACGAGTGGAGGAATTGGTCAGGTCGGCCAGGTCCCTGATGGGAACACGGGTCAGGTTACCCCGCTGAACAATCAACAAATGGTCTTGGCAGGAGAGACCACCCAACTGAACGATCAACAGATGGTCTTAGCAGGAGGAACTAACCCCCCAGGCAACTCCTCGGCGGCAAGAGGAGAACAAACGATACATATGACAAGGGCGGAATTGGACAGGATCATAGCAGACGCAATAGGGCGGGCTCAAGAGGTTGATCGGCGAGCTAATGAAGCACTAAGGCAGCCCGTGCATCAACAGTTGTCCTTACACCCTCACCAAACCCACCAGCGCGAAAGGGGGGATGAGGATGGCGATGGGTCGGTGACATCTCGACCCTTGGTGGCGCATCAGAAGGGGTTGACTCTGGAAAGAATAGCGGAACAAATGCGTGAGATGCAAGCCCGACTCCCAGGGAGAAGGGTGGGCAGGTCGCATGGTCATCCTTTTTCGGAAGAGGTGCGAGGTGGAGACTTGCCGAATAACTTCAGAGAGCTGAGCCTATCATATGATGGGTCGGCTGATCCTGCTAGACACCTGAGGTCGTTCGACAACATAGCGGTCCTGCACCGATACAGCGATGCGGTTAGTTGTCGGGCTTTCTTGACTACCTTGAAGGGCTCAGCACAAGACTGGTTCCACCAGTTGCCACCCGGTTCTATTGACAGCTTTGAGAGGTTCAGTTCTCTGTTCTTAAACCAGTTCGCGAGCACTAGGAAGCACGAGAAGACGTATCTCTCACTAATCAACATGCAGCAGAGGGAGGGGGAGAGTCTTCGACAGTACGTTTCAAGGTACACTAAGGAGTGTGTGGAGGTACCTTCTGCTACTGAGGAGATAAAAGCTGGGGGTCTCACGCGGGGGTTGAGACCCGATAAATGCAGGGATTCACTGACGAAGAGGCCTGCGAGGTCCTTTGACGAGCTCCTCGAGAGGTGTAGCAAGTATGTGAATATGGAGGAGGCTGAAGCGGATTTCATTCAGAATGACAAAACAAAGGCTAAACAGGTAGACGAGAAGCCTCGGCAAAGTGATCGCCAAACTGCTGCTAAGGAGTCCAAGGTTGAGGAGCGGTTCAGGGGTCCGAGGTACGAGCATTACAAACCACTTAATGCGCCACAGCGGGAGATCCTGGAGATGATGGAAAAGCGAGGAGAGGACAAATTGCTCGCGCAACCAAAACCTCTGCCCCCACCGCGAAAGTTTTCCGCCGGAAAGGATAGATACTGTCATTACCACCATGATTATGGTCATTCTACCAATTTCTGCCGGGAGTTGAAAGACGAAATTGAGCGGCTCATCCGGGTCGGCCACTTAAAGGAGTTCGTGATCAAGGATAAGGAGCACCAGGAAGATCGTCGTGATGGACGTGAGTTGGGTGACAAGCGGAGGAGGGCTGATGAGCCACATGATAGGCCAACCAAGAAAGGCATCATACATGTCATCGCGGGGGGTCCTACGGATGGAGATTCGCATAGGGAGAGGAAGAGGACTTACCGAGGAAAGGGTGCCACTAACGAAGTGGCCGAGGTACAAGGGCACAGGAGCTCGGCTACTCTACTATTTGGAGCTGATGATGTGCAGGGGCTTGTTGTCCCACGTAACGATGCCTTGGTTATCACTGCAGAGGTGGCCAGCTATGATGTGCAGAGGGTGCTTATAGATACGGGAAGCTCGGCGGACATCATTTTTCTAAAGTGCTTGCAACAGATGGAGTTGGACGTGAAGGTCGACCCGGTCCACACTGCTCTCTATGGCTTCAGCGGCAGCGAGGTTCGCCCTGTTGGCGAAGTCAGCTTAACTGTGGCGTTGGGAAGGTCGCCTCTGAGGAAGGTGAAGATGGTCCGTTTCTTGGTCGTGGATGCTAGCTCGGCCTACAACATCATACTGGGACGACCTAGCTTGAATTCATTCCAGGCAGCCATTTGCACTTCTTGTATGAAAATTAAGTTCCCCGTAGGGAATGAGGTCGGAGAGGTGACTGGAGACCAGCTGCAGTCTCGACGGTGTTACGAGGTTACATTGAAGACAGCTGAGGCGCAGAATAAGAGACGGAGGGATGATTTACCTGAGTGCTCCCACCAGGAGAAGAAACAAGAATTAGGGATAAGCTCCCAGGACGAGTTGATGGAAGTTTAATTGATA